ACGAAAAAAGTTATTTTCTAGCTGCCGAAATCTTGACGCCATCTTTGTTGTAAGAAGTAAACAACGAAGAGAACGGAGAAAACCGCGAAATTGTTGAACGCATGAAAAATCATTTTTATTATGCAAATTCTTCTATAAATCATGCCGTTGTGTTAAATTATTCTTTATCTTACGTGTACACACGTTGTCACAAGCGAAAATGAAGAAAATTGCAGTAAAAAGCCACCACCAAATTGTAAACAACGAAGAAATGTAAACAAACGGCTAATGTCAAAATCGTTCAACTTTTTTCCTAAATGCGATTCTAACGGACTACTCTCCTGCCCGCGTGATCTTGTCTTTTTGGTTCATGATTCGCACCGATTTTCAGAAAATTGTTCCGTTGAATATTTTTTAAAAGTCGGGACGTATAAGTGTCTCGATTTTTCATATTTGTACCGCTTAAATCCAGATTTTCAGTGTTTGATTTTATATTAACCCTTTGAGGACTGATGCTGCTTATAGGCAACATTGAAGTTTTTATTTATAAATCTTGTCGTTTGGATTATTTGTTTTTAAGGTTTGTTTAAGTTGATACTTTAGAATGTTGTGAAGGTAAAAATCGAACCTCTTACCAAAATTATAGAACCAATTAGTTTTAAATAACTTATCGTTGTGACTACTTGTGTAACATAAATGATTGAAAGTGGTTCTGCAACACCTGTACTCTAGCCCAAAAACCAATTTTCGGACAAACGTTGTAGCACTTTCTTTATCACAAAGAACATACAATATAAAGGGCCCCTTTACAAACATAGCATCCTTATTTTCTATGATCCTTAGTTATGTTTTATTCTGTCAAGCTGTGCTCTCGCTATATTGCAGTCTATCATTCTTATTTAAATTTTTTTAAAGGTTTACATAGTTATTTATCAAATTTGTTTTTTTTTTTTAATCAAACCATACTAACTTGGCCTTAGTGAAATTATACAACTAACTCCCTAAAAAAATCATGGATATGAAAAATATATTTTTACGATAATTTTTCAAGTTCTTTTCTCTTTCTCTTGTTTTAAATAAAACTGTGTGAAAAGATGTTATGTCCTTTTATTCTAGAAACAAAATTATATGTTCGGATTCGATCCTTCAGCAATGCCCCGATTTTTGTCCATATGGAATAAAATGCGCAACACCGTCAAGAACCAAAAAATCTACGGTACTTTGAAGCGACTTCAAACTTGCATTTTATTATACTAAAATTTTATGAGCTATAACACTGCGTACCCAGAAAATTCTGAATAAAAACTGTGAATTTTTTATGAAAAATTAAATTTTTTGTTAATTATTACAAAGTAAGAAACTTTGATTTTTATGAATTTTGTTGTAGTATTAACTATAGTTTTATCAAAAAATAATAAAATGCAAATAAAATCAAAAAATATGAAAAAATTTACTGTACGATTTTGACTGACACTAACTGTATATATAATTTTGAGAAACTTTGAATACACATACACAGTACATAAATAGCAGCCGTCAAACATATCACAATCACACAATGAATACGCTTCTTGATTCATCACATAGCTGCCAGTTAGACGCGCTTTCACACTTGGAATTCAATTTACCATAAAATCTATAAGAAAATGTTTGTACTTAAATCTTACACACATACTCGTATGTACATATGTACATAATTTCGCATGTTTTATATTAAATTATTGCTACTATTTAACTTACAAGAAACAATTCTAAAACAAATTTTAAGTGGATTTCCGATGAATGATCCCCTTTTAGCGTAGGCACACTCATCACATTCACACTTAGAGCATCAAAGCAGCGACATTGTACTAAACATAGAAACAGACGATGCCCTTAATATTGCATAGCAATTATGTGGAATTGATTTTTGGTAAGCTATCACAAAGTTTAGTCTACCACTGCATAGGCGCGACTACAAAACATATTTGCTGCCGCGGAAAATGGTACGACCAATGTTTAATATCGAACGACAATTGGTGAACTATATTTTTACTGTGGTGACTTTATCTTACCAACTTCTGCACATTACCGCCAAGGAAGCGGATCTAGCCAACGTTGAACTCTTTACCAACGAAGATTGCGCGCAAATCACAGCCAATAGCACTTGCAACTGCTATCGGGATAAGAACAACTCGACCATTATCGAGTGTGCGGCGGCACAAGTACACATCTCCATAAACACTGAGAACGTCGTAGAGCTCACTTGCGCAGGTGAACTGAAACCGGAGTTGCTAAGCAGCTTACCGCGACTGGATCCACTACGTGAAACCAAGTACATCGCCATATACAACTGCTTGCCTTTCGCCGATTTGTTGGACCAGTTGGCACTCATGTCCAGGCAAACATTGCAAGTAAATGGTCTAGCGGGGATAGCGCAGATAACACTTGACACCTTTGGCCGCGCCAATCAATGTTTGCGGAAGATTACAATGCTGGAATTGCGAGCAGACTCCCAGCGATCAGCACCGCCCGATTTGCCACACGTAGCCCAAGAGCTTTCTTCGGATATACTAAGTCCAATGCCGGCACTGTTTCGCCTTTTTATAGACTTGAACTTTACACGTTTGCCAGCTGATCTACTCAAGCCAGTACCATACATAAACGATATCACACTGCAGGGTCGATTGGAGGAATTTCCGCGTGCAACATTTGCGCCTCTACGGCGCTTACGTGAACTCTCTATGCGCCAACACCGGCTGCGCAATCGTCTACGCGAGGATGACTTTAGCGGTTTGACAACAGTTAGAGGACTTTATTTGACCAATTGTAGCATTCAGGAGTTGCCGGCACGTATCTTTACACCTTTGAAGCTCTTACAGCGGCTCAATTTGATGAACAACCAGCTGCACGAACTGCCGACCACACTATTGGCGCAGCAAAAGCGCTTGCAAGTGTTAAATTTGAGCGGAAATCTATTGGAAGCATTGCCGTTGGGCCTTTTTGCGGCGACTACCAAACTTTTTAAGCTGATTTTGAGTCGCAATCGGTTGCAGCACTTGGACGCCAAAATATTGCCACCTCTTACCGCACTCATCGACCTTTCGGTAGACAACAATCAGCTGCGCACAATCGAGGCG